AATGGTGTATATAATAATTTAAACTGTGTCGGGAAGCAAAGAAAGTACACTGCATTTCATAATGATCCTTCTGGATTATTTCAGGCTGTCCGCTGAGGCCTTGCAAATTTGATTGCCACATTTAACCGACTTGTCTACTCTGGCAGAGCAAAAAAAAAAAAAAAAATATTTGAGCAGTACTTACTCCCAGTGTCTAGCTGGACTCACCCCAGAGTTCAGTGGCAAGTCACCGTCTCCTACTTAATTTTTCCATTGTTTCTCTGTTTAATTTCTTAAGTGCTGTTTCTTTACATTTAGTGACGTTGTAGCATGATTCCTTTTCATAGGGAAAGCTGTTATGAAATCACAAGACGGGTTGCGTGTGGTGCCGTAGTTTTCCGCTTCCGGTGTTTTTAACCACTATCGCAGGAAATAATAAATAAAAATAGAAATAAAAACATGAAGAACAGAACGAGATTCGAACCTGGGTACCCTGCATCACAGCCCAGCATTCTACTTTAGAGCCACCCTATGCTCGTAACTTTGTTGCAAACTCTCCCTAGGCAGGCTTGATGTAGAGAAAGGAATTGCACTAGTATGAATAATAAAGCGTCTTAGAACAGCAAAGGATCTACCAGGCTTCACACCATGCGAATTGCATAACGAGTGCATTCAGTGCTAAAACTCTTTACAAAACCTTGTTCTTGATCACCTATTAAGTGTGGTGCATACCTGCTTCGTCGTCGCCAGCCACTGCATAAAAAATTTGCTCGAAATTCTTTCCATCTGTGTAGGGGATACCACACTTCTTCGAAGAATGACGAAGGATAGCATAATGAAGGCCAGCCAAAACCGTGGGCCCGCCTACTGCACAAAATTTATGATCATTTGTGGCATAGTGGGCACCTATCCAAGTGTGCTTCTTGTAGTTACCTCAAAGAATGTTTAGAAAAGACTCTGACAGGTCACTCTTCCAGTCTTGGCCTTGACTATGTTGCTTGTTCCGCGCAGATCTGGCGGCCGCAATGGAAGTGCTGCTTCGATTCCTCCAAACTGCTCCAAACACTAATTTGTCTTAGGAATTGCTCCAAACCTGTTCTGAAATGACGCATAGAGAATGAGAATGACGAATTTTTGTGTTTGACCGACTAGAGAAACTGTAAATAATATGTGTACTATCATGCCAGTGTGCTACATGTGTGCAGCGTTATCAGCTCTGATCTCATTTGCGTGACAAAAGCTGGCATATTAAGGATATATCTCATTTGGCTATTCTTTTTTTTTTCTCTGTTAGACATGCAGGCTAGTGTGGCGAGATGTGAAAATTAGCAGGATTGTGTTTACCTCATACCGATTATCTACTGCTTATTTGGCAACAATTATATTGGACTGTGGTTACCTCTAAAATATGGCACTCAGCTTTTCTAGTTTTGATTTGATTTGTGCCACAAATACTAGTACTTCGAATTGTAGCTTATTTCAGAGCACATTTTTTACCACCTGTAATTGTTTGCTTCATGAAATTTATATCAATTGTTGTCTTTTGATTATACTATTAGCATTTACGAGATGCTTCGACAATGCTCTGAACTTTATGGTGTGGGTAATTTCCTGCTCCTAAAATACCAGTGGCTACTATTATTAGCATTTTATTTCGGCTCCGTAAACATTTAAGGCTGCTCCAAAGTAGTACTCTTATTGTGAAATGTTAAATCTTCCTTCCATCACTTCTAGGGTGCACGCCTTCGGACTTTCAGAATAAAGTTTTCCCAAACGAAACTCCCATCACTCTGGAATTTTTTTTTTTTCAGTGACCGGGAATGCTTGACGCATGTGTTTAAAGTACAAAGAGATCTCTGGAAGATTATTCAGCAATTAAGTTTCTTTTATATAGTTTACTTGAGTGAATTCTGCCCTGAAGGGACAGACGAAATCAGTTGGTATATCTAGTAGGTTAACAGGAAGAAAGAACATCATTTACTCATATAGCAGCATTTGCCCTAGTTGTAGCGTGTCCTTCATATATTATAAATTGAAAGGGTAAAAATTGCATTTCACTGTCTAAACTTAGCAGACAAACATGACTTTTCGAGCAGTAAATACATTATCCCATCTTTCCTTCTGGTAATAAAAAAACATGAAGCCAGAAAACAATAAAATTTTCATTTGATGTTACACAACCTTCTTAAGCAGCAGTTCAGCAGTATAACAAAGAAAATACGTCCTACATAGAACTGCCTGCGCACTTACTGTCCTCCATTGATCGAAGGACTTCTCAGTAACCTCGAATGGGATTTTGACACATATCAGATGGACCACTTTGCTTGTCTGTCCTGCTATACATGTGATTCTCCATAATGCCGAGAATATGTCAAGCAGCTTCTTGCCACTAGCTCAATAAGTAATGTAAATTTTCGCTTGGAAGTGCACTCTTGGTTGGACCTAAAGAGGTATGTCATTGTTTTAATTTGCTTGAACTTGCCCTTTGTGGTCGCCACTTTTGACGCCGACGGTGATAAACATTAGTAATGTTGGTCCCGACTAGGTTACTGTGAACGCTGCTTTTGTATTGTTCTATCTCGAATCGCGCCGCCTAAGGAGTGTTTGAACAAATGTTGCCTAAAAAGAAAAGAAAGAAAGGCATGCAATATAATGGGACAAAAGCCGTCATTATTCCATGTGAGCGTATCCGTTTTGTGCTAAAATCTTCTTAGGGCATGTAAAAAGAAAAGGATTGAAGATGATGATGTGTGATTAATGCATTCACTGTTCGTCAAGTAGCTGGTTGCAGTGCGGACTTGGCACAAAGACAAAAGGAGGCACGAAGAACACGTGCACACCTACGGTAAATACAGAAGAGTTGGATGCTGCTACTATCAGAACCATTGTTTAACCCCCAATTGAGGTCAGGTGCATGCTAGAGGACCAGCCAAGTTCAAAATATATAGCAGAGTATATTTTCAGGGCCACAATAATATAATTTTTGTCCCATAGAATTGTATTTTCAGGGATTTGGGATGTGCTATTTTATTCAACCAGTATTCTGTCTATTTACTATGAAAATAGTCACTGAACAACTTTTTCCAGAATTCTCTACAGCATGACATATTTTCTGCATCATCAACTGAGACAGGGAGTGCTCCTAAAATAATTTGGCTCCATAAGGTTTGCAATCAAATGAGATATTTCTAGCTCTTTCCGAGAGCTCAAAAATAATTATTCATGCCCTTGAATGTAAATGCAACTTGCTTCTCCTGAAGGATGTGAAGTTACCTGCTCCTGATTTCTCCAAAATTGAAAATTTTGCTACTCCAAAGTGCTCTAAAATGCAGATTTTTCTGCTCCAAAGTGCTCCAATATGTAAATTTTTTAGTTCCAAAAATTGCTCCAAATCAGCAGACCTCGGAAGCATCACTGTAATCATTTCTAGCAAACTTATCGAAAAAAAAAGAACTTTACTGTTTAGCTTGTCAGTCTTTTTGTCCAATCTTTGCTGCTGTTATACAGTCTGCTTGTACAGGTATATAATCTATACTTATTAGTATCCATCCCACAGAAAATGTTGTGTTTTGTGCAAAATGCATTGAGTCATTCATTTCCAGATCTCAGAAGAATTGTCATTTGGGCTAGTTAAAATTGGTTATGTATTTTGGAACCGACTGCACAAAAAAATGGGGACATTAGGAGTGTTACACATCACATCGCATCATCAGTGCTGTGTGGTGTCTAGTACTTCCAGTGTCCTCGCTTTTTGTGCTGCCCATTCAAAAAATGCATGCAGATGTGTCTTGCACCACGAATAGCTCATTCACAGTGGTGCTGGCAAAGTCAGTATACCTTTTGTTCGGGTGAGTGTAGCGTGTCTGTCATTTGGTTTTTCTGTTCCTTTCTTAGCACCAGGAAGCACATCACTTGGTCCAATCTGTGGTTCTCTTTGTAGAAAGAGCTCTCAAATGACACCGAAAAGGTAAGCATTTAGTACCTACTAGTATATTGCGTGTGCGTATTTGACTTCACCTAGATTATCAAAATCTTAGTTATTTGAGAAACCGTGGTTTTAATACTTTATATGCATGATATGCCACAGTTTCTCACTGCATCATTCAGGAGGGAATCTAATGCCTTGGTCAGTGTCATAATTTATGTTGTACCTTTCAGAGCACCAGACCACAAGCTGAAAAGTTAGTGTGAGGCTTGTGTCCCTTGATAGGGTCCTGAGCAGCCCCTTTAATTGAATAGACATTGTGTTAGTTGGTTTAGTAAGGATCTGTGAATATTTTGGCCGAGCTTATTTACAGGAAGTTCGTAGAGATAAGCGGTATGTGTGAATAGCTCAAACATCTACACAGGGCTGCTACTTGCAGTTTCTGAAAATACCAGTTGACCAGTGTTCCCATATATTGAAGCCATACGGTAAACCTTGCACATAATTTCTTGGCCATATTATTTCCCACTGGAATGCCTCGCTCTGTCCTTGTTTTCAATACTTCTTTTTCTAACTGAAGTTGTTTCATCAAAATAGCCAAAATGTAGACTTGGCTACAAGTTAGCTAGAGAAGACAGGTATTGCAAGCATGAAATAATGTATATCGGCAAAACAAGCATCTGCAAATAATTAATGTTATCGCTCGAAGTGTTTCAAATAAAACAAGTTTCCTTGAGATACTGTTACTTCAACATGACCCTCATATTACAGTTATTACTTAGACTTGGCTTTGCAAGGAAATTAACGACCAAGATGTGTTTCCCCTTTGCTACAATGTTTATCAAGAAGATAGATCTTCTAGGAAAGGGGGTGTTGCAGTCCTAGTTAAAAATCAAGTTAAAGCTGTTGTTCTGGAAATAATACCCTCGTTGGAATGCCTGTGCATTAGGGCATCGCTTTAGGGCTATAGCTTTGTACTTTTCGCAGTTTATAGACCCCCTGAAACAGCTGCTCGCCGGAAGGGCGAGTGTCCGGACCCAGCGTAGCAGTACTTCTGTGGTGAGCAAGGGAGCAGCTGGGCGAGCAGCTGTTGTTTCCGTTCAACCGGCGGGGATCGTGGTTTCAGTGCCACGTCCAAGCGGAGCTGAAGCTGAAGCCCGAGCTGAAGGAGTGGTTTCGGTGCCACGTCGGGCGCAACACGGCCTGCGTGTTGGGAAACAAGCAGTTCCACATCTGCTCGTGCGTCGACGCACGACATCATCGTGCACACGGGTACTACACGTGATCCTAACGCTTCGTGCATCTTTCGTCATTCTCCTGGTACTGTGAGTGACGTCCGACGAACAATTATTTTTGGATGCACCGATTGTCGCACTTGTGTGGGCTAGGAGCATAGGGTTATGACTTTCATGATATTTATAGTGTTTGGCCAATCAGAGTGTTTGTGATTGTATCCAGTCAATAAATGTTTCGTGTCCGTGTCTGAGGCCCCAGAACCACCACACATATAATTTAGTTTTTGTTCATCTTTTACATTTTGGCTTTATTGGGGCAAAAAAAAGTAAGAAATGTTCTTTATGATATTCAGCATTTATCAGTTCTGAAAGAACAGTTTCTTGTATTCCGAGTCATCAAATATATTATTGTTCACCCACTACCCGGTCAGTACATATTAAGAACGCTAAAAGCACACTGACAACGAGGGCACAAAGAAGGCACATTCACATATAGCGCAACCTGTGTGTGTGTCCTCGTTTTAAGTGTGCTTTTACCGTTTTTAATCATGGAATAGGAACGTGCACAGATGTCCACCTCAGTACATACTAGGGAATATATTAATAGTCTGTCTGAATATGTCCATGCATATCTATTTCAGTGTGTGACAATAGTCGTGTCTATCATAACTGTCAAGTGAGTTAGTGTTCAGTATTCAGCCTTGGGCTCCTTTTGCAATGCATGGAACCATTTCATTTATGCTCCACTTCGTTGTTTGCATGCCTTGTCACACAGGGCACATGGAGCCCTTTGAGAAAAGTTTGTACAGTACCCACGGATTGAAACGGGACAATTTACGGCTAAGTAACCCACATTATTTCCTTTCCACCGTCTTCAGTTCTGGTCACATTGGCATCTTTTCAACTCGAATGAGTAGATCAGAGCCAAACTTATGCTTAGAGAGCAGATTGGTCGCGACGGTTATCACAAGCAATAGCGAATCCCGGTCATGATACTAATGTCTGGTTTGAATTCATGAGTACTGTACGTCAAGCGTTGTGGCTGTTCCGTCACCTGCTGCTCGTTGGCACGGTTGGAGCACCTAACGAAAAAAAAAATTTCATGGCTTGTTGGCTGTTAATAAAATCCAATTACTACACATATGTAAACGCACCTGCATGTATCTCTACAGATGATTTGCGAAAGCAGTGGTGCAGTCAGCGTAGCTTTGCACTGTACAGGATGTAGCCATTAAACAGCAAAAGACTTATCAGATGTTGATACGTGCAGTCAAAACATGCTATTGTGAGCAATGTGGCATGACATGCTGACTTCCTAATTATTCATTGATTACTTGTTCACAAGCTAAACAATTATTTGTCCATGATTGGGTTGAACCAAACTCCAAAGAGGTGTTATAGTGTTCAGCTAGAGAGATGATAATCTTATTTGCATTGACAAGTCATGTGCTGTGCAAATAAGTGAGCGCATTCCAAATGTGTCTAAAGCAAAAGGGATGGGACTAGAATTCGATTGCAAGGTATCTTGCTTTGATAATTTGCAGTTTCTTGACACTATATTTTTAAGCTTCACTGCGAGCGTGTTTGTGGGCTGTATTCTTCGGTTTCTGCTAAACAAGTTCTATTTCGTTTTGGCGCATTTGAATAATGTGAAACAGAAAAAAAAAACTTGTGCGCATAAGATGAGCATTCTTTCTAGCTACAAATTGATCATCTCAAAATGGCAAGGTGACTCTTACGTGTCGTTGCATCGGTTTGTGAAAATCTGTTTGCATGGCAAACAAAGACAAATACGGATGTTGTGCACCCATGACAAATGAAGAAACTGGAAATATTGCAGTTGTACTTTGTATGTATAAGAACTTGCATAAGGACTGAGGAATGGAGGGAAGCAATGTGGGGTGAGGGTTGTGTTTGCTGCCCCAAATAATCTTACTCGCATTTGTTCCATAGTGCACAAAAGGGTTTAAGGGTCTGCATAGGGCAAAAGAAAATGGGGTTAGAGGCATGCCAATTGAACACTTTCAAGCAATCCCAGAAACCCCCGTGGGCGCGCAACGCGCGATGGGAATAGCCTCTACGTTGAGTGTGCCGGCGGTTTCTTCACCCTCTGCTTGTTAGTGCTGGGAGCACGAAATGAAAAATGCATCACCGCTTGTTGACTATTATTAAATTAACAGTACTACACATGTCTGAAGGCACTTGCTTGTATCTCAACGCATGAAAATCGAAAGGAATCATGCAGTGAGTGCAGGTATAACTGAGCGTATGTATACGGCTTGATACGCATGCGAGTTGCCGCATGCCGATACATGCAGTTAAAACGAGCTGTCGTGAGTAATGTGAGCTGTAACATCCAATTCATAATTATTCAATAATTACTTATTCATAAACTGAACGATTAATTATCTGTGATAAAGTTTAACCCAACTGAAGAGAGGTGTTAGTGTTCATTTATAGAGATTATTACTTGATTTAATTGACAAGTTATGCTCTGTGCAAATAAGTGAGCTCATTTTAAACATGTTTACGAAAAAAGGGATGGGACTAGAATTCACTTGCAATGTGCCCTGCTTTGGTAATTTGCAGTTTCTTGGTACATGTTCTTAAAGGGACACTAAAGAGGAACAATGACTAGGTTGATGTTGACAAACTGAACTCTGAGAACTATAATGCTATAAATTTCACTATCATTAGTTTATTTTTTGAAAAGAAAATCAAGGTTGAAGTTTCGTTTTTCAATTCCGCACTGAAATCTCTGTGCGTTACATTGAAAATTTCCAAATGTAATTTTGTATTTTCGCTACATTGGCTCAATGAAATATCCTGAAACTTCATGTTCTTGGTCTATGGCACCCACAGATGTCAATGTACTTCATGTTTATCGATTAAAAGCCACATAGGATCCATTAGTTCACTTCAAAATGTATGACGTCACAATGACTTGGTGTGGGAATTTCAAGATGGCGTTTCCACCCGTATTTTCTTTTCATGCATTTTCTAGCCTACCAAGCATCCTGTTGCGGTAAGAGTGCTGTTTTCAGCATTGTGAAACTGTACTTTACTAATGCGTGGAAAATCGTTTTGCTCTTTATTATCCCTTTGCTTCACTGTGAGCTTGTTTGCGCGCCTATAGTCCGAATGCAGCGAAACCACGGTGTTTAATTTTACACCAGCATATCCGAATGTTGAATTGATCGTCGCAAAGAGGCAGGGTATCCTGCATATCGTTGCATCAGTTTGTTGAAATTTGTTCGCATGGCAAATAAAGATAAGCACTGTGTCTGCTGCTACCAGTAAAAAATGAAGCAACTAGAAATATCGCAGTTATTTCATGTATGTATAGGAAGTGGCACAAAGCAAAGAATGTGTACCGAAGTGACTTGGAAATTTATACGGAAGCGATTGTTAGCCCAAATAAGTTTAGCCACATTTGTTCCGTAGTGCACACTAGATCACAAAGGTGTGCAGTGTTCAAAGAGAAATGCGGTCAAAGGCATGTCAATTGTTTGGTCAATATTTGTACACAAGTTAAGTGCAAATATCCTTCTTTTGCCCACATGCACATCGACCAGGTCGATGTATTAGCACACTTCTCAGCAAGCATCAAAGTCCATTAAATGGAGCCTCTGACCTTGCCTTTATAAGTCAATAATGCAAATGTAATCCTATCTTTAAAAGCAGTGATTTTGTCACTGTGCTTTCAACAACGCAAGAAATTTTGGAGGCATATCATGTCACAAATAACGCCGCAATCTGTCCAAGTCATGTTTTTTGTGTTGTAATGATAGAGAAGGTGAGCTTCATTAATCAACTGTAAACACGCAGCTTGGTTGTTTGACTTTTTGTTTAAAAAAAAAGAGAAGTATCTGAAAAATGGGGGTATCTTAGATACTCTTTGAGTATTTTGTATCTGTATCGTAATACGTCTCTCAAAACGAGTATCTGTATCTGTATTTCCGTTACATTCGATAATGTATCGTGTATTTTAAGATACAATGTACAGCGGTCGGAATGCTATACCTTGCGAAACATATTTAGCTGACCTAACTCTGCTGCTCAGGCTGGTGCTGGTGCCACTAAGACACCTGAATAAAACTAAGGGCAATGACATTTAATCCTTTCGTTCCACTCCGACAGTCAGGGTAGGCGATGAGGTGCGCGCGTCCCTTTCAGTGAAGCAGGGCTTGCGTAGTCTTTTTGTTTTCGAAATTTCTTCCCTCGGTAGTTGTGTCAGAGCCATAAAACTTAGCATTGGCCTCTTGAAAGCGCCACGTACCTTTGTGCGTGCAGTTATGACAGCACCAATTCTGGTGCCGCTTTCAAGCGTTGAAATATAGCACCGCTGGCACTGATGATGTATCTAGAATAACAAGCACTTACCTATCAGACGATATCTTGGCTGTCCATGCTGCTTTCCTTCTGCTGTTTCTATTGAAAGAGCTCTTGAAATTATAATAGAATTATTACCACAAGTGCTTTCTCATTTGTTCTTCGCTTGCATCTCATATTCATCTATAGTTCTGAACTGTTTTTTTTTTGGTCTCGTGAATGCCTTCTGTAATGTAAAGCCAAAATAATATCTCTGTTTTATCCTTAAATTTATTGGTCCGCTTTATTTGTTCTACTATACACTTATACATTTATATTCCTTCATGTTTGCTCTTCTGGCAAGGCAATTTGGGAAACAAATACGTCTTTATGTGGACAGGCGTTATACATCACAAACATTCTGCTTAATGCTTCATAAAATGACCAAATTTAGTTAATAATATTAATCGCAATAATTAGAAGCTACCGGAAAGATCTTGGAAGACGTTTTTGAGAAACATTGTTCGGTCAAATTGTCCGTTTCCTATGAGCGTCCCAACAAGTCATTTCAAGTAATTTGTCATAGGCACTGATTTGTTTATTGTCTTACTTTAACAAGTACGTTGACGATACTTCATGATTAATTGCCATAGCTATGAGGTGCACCACCTGTATCGGGTATCTCGATTTATTCACCATGACTGCTTGAAACAGAACGGCTTTTCTATTTTGGTTGTGATTGTTTTCCTGTGTTAGTCTACCCTATTTTATTCTTGTTATTGCTAACTGCCAGGAAATCGTAGCTATGGGCTGCTGTAAGTGGTATTCTCCCGTGACAACGTGTGTAACTATGCTGCCTTGCGCTATCTTTTTGTTTGTTTGGTTGGTTGTTTGATTGTTTGTTTGGTTTGGTGTTGGTTTGGCTAAGACACAAAAAACTTATGAACGCTCGGTGCAAGCCGCCCCCAATTTTTCATAAACTTTGATATTGTCGCAGATTGTTCTGCTAAGATTACGCGCAAATCCTGCTGCGACAGCCACTTGTCGATAGAGGTGAAATGCTAGAGCCGCATGCACTTCGATTTGATTGCACGTTGAAGAATACCACATGGTCAAATTTTCCGGATCCCTCACTTTTGCGGTCCTCACAATCAGATCTCAGTTTTTGGACATAAAAGGCTAATTTATTATTTTTCAGATTACGCACACTACGCATACTCAAACTAATTCGCGAGCTTATGCATGCAACAGCGATAACACTGGAAGGTGCGATCACTGCTGTATAAATACAAGACTCGTTCTGCCGATATTCAGATTACCGAAGGCCTACAACACTTAATGTCGCTATCAGAGTACAGTGAACTTCCTTTGTACTTTGAATTGCATAGTTTTCTGGGAACAAGTTGGCTTATGAGGAATTTAATTTGTACCAGAGTGACTGGTGCTTTATTCAGGGTCACCGTCAGGTGACAACACAGTGGATATGAGGGGTTTCTGAGGTACAGACGTCCTCTCGCTCAAGAAAATTGATTGCACCTTGGTAAGTATAAAGATAATGAACGATTTATGCCAGCATATATTCAGATTAAGAAAAGAAATAGCAGCTTTATGCGCTCTGTGCAGGCCTCTTTATATACGCAATGTTCCATAAATAATATCGCTACCAGCATTTTTGTGGCTGTACACTAGTGATTGGGCATTGCAAGACGGTCATTTATGAACAAGCTAAAACTGCACACTGGTATTTGCACTATCGTGCGAAGGCTTCTAATTGAAGCTCATGTGGCAATCCGCAAGCTGGTCGGCAAGCTGAGCAGCGGCTCCCAGGAATTCCAGAACTGACAAGCAAGAAGCACTGTCATCAAATTGTCTACAGAGAAGGGTGGCAGACCGGGCTAGTTAGTACTCCTTATTCAGAAACATAATAGTGTGGAAGCAAACAAAAGGGAAGAAAAGAATAAGTTCTTCAGAAGTAAACTGTATAACTATAAGACAAAACTTTTCATATACCAATAAAAATTTCATTAAAATGAAATTAGGCATAATTCAGAAGTCTTAAAGCCATCGTTTTTGTGCAAATGCGTTCGCTACTATATTCTGGGGGTCTATAACAACAACTTTGCGAATGTGTCGAAGTATCTTAAAACACTATTCGCAAGTATCGTACCAAATACAATTTTCACGGAAGTATCCTGTATCTGTATCACCAATACTTTTTGTCCATGTATCTTGTATCATAGCGTGATACATTTTCAAAGTATCTTTGCCCAGCCCTGTGTAGTACCAACAAAGGTTAGTAAAGGCTTATTGTTCATTTTATACATACAGTAAACCCTCGTTAATTTGAAGTTACTGGGACCGTGAGTCAAGTTAAGCAGGTTTCAAATATCGGAACCTCACTTTGTACTCATCGACAGTATTGATAGACATTGATTCCAAATTAATGTACGAGTCGTAGACCACTCCTGCAGTTCATAGGCAAACGGGTTGTGTATGTGTGCTGTAAGACACACACACACACCCCAGAAATGTTGTAAGACACACACACACACACCCAAAAAAAAGGGGGTTGACACTTCTGAGCCACTCAGCTAGTTCAACAGTGAGTCTGATGAAAATTGTTGAGAGGCCATCACAGCTAAACACTGAAGTTGGTGACTGAACCGCGTAGTAATGTGTTGTTGTTTGTTAAATTCACTGTATCTAAAGAGCTCTTCCACTGCGCAAGTGAAGGCTAAAGCGTCAGGCCCACGAGCTCATTGTGACGATTTCTGCGGCATACCCACCATTCTCATGAATGCTTGCATGCCCGTTCGTGGGCGCTCATGTGCTTGAACATGGTCTATTGTTTTATTGTTTTACCATTTATTGTGTTGGAGTTAAATGCCAATTTCTTTTTCGTCCGCATGTGCATTGGTCAGTCTGTTTGATGTATTAATTGAATGGAGGCGACATAAAGCACAATAAATTTGCACCATCAACCTAATCTGAGAGAAATTTCAGAGGTGATATGCAGAGGCCCGATTTATAGGGACTAAAAAATCGGGTTTTTAGGCACCAAAACAGGCAGACAAAGCATAATTTTCGGCCCCCAATATATTAAACATAGCCACAATAAATTTTTTGCAATGACTCCCATTTTTGAAGTAATATATGCGGGACCTATGTCTACAACAGGAAAGCCACAATGCTTTACTTTATTATGATGCAAAGGTGCAGTTTAGCATAACTATGCTTTTTTTTTCCCGCAGTGTTTGCAGAACACGATCTCTCCTTTTGTTGTCCAGCAAGGTTATTCCAGTGTCAATCGTCGATTAAACATGCATCCCGGGCGTCTTTATGTTCGACATGGCTCAGAAGGGCAGCAGGAGCAAATAGCCAGACCGCTAATAGGCCAGAAGGGTCTTGTAGCAGCGTATTAACCAGGTATGATCGCACACGATCAATTTCTCGTCTGTCTGTGAACACATTAAAGGGCCCCTCACCAGGTTTGAGCATTACGAACAGGCAAAAGAAATGCATGCACTTGGCGCTCACGGTGTCATCTGCCGAGATTTGCACCACTACCCGCCCTGTGAAGAGGTAAAATAACAGACTCGACAAGGAATGGTTCTCCGTACATCAAAGTAATATGTGACACTATGAGAAATATTCGATGCTACGTGTGTAATTTGTGGAATCTGTTGCTTGAATAGAGGTATCAAGATTGATAGAAATATTAAAATATACAAATTAAATCTGTGCACGTGATTATTTTTTAACTCTGTATTGAGCGAGATGTTAGACTAAGCTGCCTTCTTTTCGTTTGCATTGCTGTTCTCGTCGTTCTCGCATCATGCTAGTGCCTGCTCTGATAATTCTTGGCGTGTTTTTGGTGCATCATCTCTTAGAGCAGTTCTAGCGGTGCGACGCTGTGTATCATGGTAAGGGCACATGGTCTATGCCAGCTTCTCCAAACATGTAAGCATAGAGGGATTGCTTCCACATAAACAAGCAGTACAATACAGAGAACACTGAAACGACACTGCTTGCGTGCACGACCTGGTTTCGGCATGCTTTGCGAACGTAACCTTACATGCGCATGACGTGTTGATGTGTCTGTGTCATGTTATCTTCTGGCTCCGCATTTATCCGATACCCAAGTCAGCAGGAAAAGTATTTGGCTTGTGAAGCATACCCGCATCGAGTGGCAGTTTTCAAGCTCACCTCCTCGCATCCTGCTTTCGCGGTTCGTAATGAACCAGTTAAAAAATTCTTGTGGCACAAAGTTTTTCTTTGGGCATGCAGCAACTTACAGTGTCTTACTAAAATTTCTCATGTGACCTGTTCCTTACGCATGAGAGCAGACGCCAGGGAAGTGCTGAGGCGACGCGACACAGATTAATACATGTGTAGAGGTTAATAGGCCTTTCTATTGGCTAAGGGGCCTTCTAGCCTTGACCATGCTGGAAGGAGCTTCAAGATGGAGTGGAGGTTGCACCCCATAGGGTTCTGAAAACCCTATTTTGCCTGATAACATGAATACTGGTATCCCTGTACTCGAAAACGAAATTCGAAATCAAATATTGCTCATTTAGGCACTGAATTGGAAAATGGGGCATTTATAGGAATTTAAGCACAAAAGTCAAAAATAGGCATTTATATAGGCCCTATAAAAACGTAAGGAAAGGCCTTCTTAACCTCCACTTTATGCTCATATATCAAAGTGGCACAATAGAAATGCAAGAAACAATATAGGCGTTTGCCTACATTCCAGCCTCTAGCGATATATCATGTCAAAAATAACGCCACGTTATGTCACTTTGTATAAGTCTACCTTCTCGGTCGTTACTATTAATCAACTTGAAACGTGCCCCTGCGTTGCTTAAATTTTTGTGCTTCTTTGACACATGCGCTGCACCCCCCCCCCCCTTTTTTTTGCGCATGCAATAAACCTCCAGTTGAGTGACAGCCATGGTATGTGTATTCACTTCTTTGTCCTGCTTTTTTTTTCACTCTTGACTACTATTTCAACTTATCGTTGTTGTGCTAACGCAGGTTAATAGGCATTTATTGTTTGTCACACATATGGTGCGAGCAATGCACATGCCTATTAGTGGATGTATCTTATTTTACTGAATGCAGACTATATTTTCTAGTGTACTCTTTCAATATACACTTCACATTGTGCTCATTGTCAGTGTCGATGGAAGTCGATTCCAAATGCATCCATGAATCATAGATATATTTTTCTTTTTTCATTAATGCTGTAAAGCGCTGGCACCAAAAACAGAAAGTCTCCTCTGAGCTGCTCATCTCGTCCTACAGTAGGACTGATGAAAATTGTTCAGAAGTTGTCTCAGCTAAACACTGAAGTTTGTGGTTGAATGACACAGTACGTACTAAGTTGCACCTTTTCAATTTCACTGTCTAAAAAGTTTTGGCTTGGCACGAGTGGCAAGCTAAAGTGCAAGGCCCATGCACTCATCACGGTAGCTGCTGTGGTGTACACAGTTTTCCTATGAACGCTTGCGCACCCGTTGGTGGCAATTGTCTACGTTAAAAAGGTATATTGCACTAGTTGCCAACTGAAGCTGTGAACATTGGTCACTGAGTAGAAAATCTTCTTTCTGCATTTCTATACAATGTTCTAAACTACTGCTTTTAGGCTAAGTAATTACTGCAAAGATATTGCATGGGTGTGGGCGTCTCAATGCATATATAAATTATATTTCATTGCCTTTAATGCCTTATGAATACCATCCAGATGTACACTATGACAGTAAAGGTATATTAACTTGCTCTCTAATAATTGCGATCAGCTGGTGATGGCTAATGCTACAATGTAAATTTCAACCGTAAGATTCTAATTTTCAGTTTTTTGAGCTATGGTAATATCGTTGAGTTGTCAACTTATTGAACTTCAAACTACACTTCCATTATTTAAATGAGACTTTGTGGTAATAAACAGTCGAATTTTTTCAAACAGGGCCTCAAGGTGCTTGGGAGATATGTTCCATTTAACAGCAATTTTGTTTACAGAGACAGATGTACTATAGGAGTACAGCATCAAAGTACAAAGCCAGCCAAATTGGAAGCGGTCTGTCTGAGTGTTCCTTCTGTTTAACAAGCTGCTTACAGTTACAAAGATTTCACTGTGATTTAAAAGTATCAGATTCTGTTTACTCTGTGTTGTGGTAAACATAGCTGCATAGCAGAAACATTTGTAGATAAATGCCATTTTAAGATTCTGAAAGCTTGCAGTGCCTACGGGAATAGCACTGAATATATTTTTTAAGCTCTGCAAGTGTACAATATTTTTGAACACAAGATTATTTTGATCCTTCTTGAAACAAATGGCTCTCCACGTTCAGTAAGCCTATGGGCTGTTGCTTTTTTTTTCTAGATTTTTAAACTACATATTTGAGCCAGCTATTGGCAAAATTTTCTTATTCAGTTGATCACGCATTTTCAGAGTTGCCCTTCAATTTACTAAATACAGGTGCACATTTGGTTTTATTTAAACCATGCATGTTTTGCATTAAGCTAAAAAAAAATTGGACTGACAATTTTGATTGGCTTCATTTCATTGTACAACTTCCATTGCTACCTGCTTTCTTATAGTGGCTGCGATGCCTTAACATTGACTGGTTGTTTCCTCCAACTTTCAGGACTTCATCAGGGCCAAAGAAGATAAATTTTTATTCACCTATCATCAAAAGACCTGGGTACCCCAAGAGCCTGCATTATTTTTTTTATTTGTTCCTTGTGAAATTACCCGGCGCCCTCCAGTGCCTGCATTGACTGTGTATAAGGACCCATGCTATGAATCCGTGGCTTTGTTTCAATAAAACATGGCATCAACAATTTTTCCCACATTATCAAGCTAGTGTTGGAACTAGGTCGTGCCTTTTTTTCACATTTGCTATTTTCAGTGTTATATTACTTAGCAATCCTCAATTTAATGGTTCATCAACTGCTGCAAAACAGGCTCTAAGTGAATTGTCAAGCCATGTATTACCATAATGAGCATGTTGCTGAAGCAAAAACACCACTATTGAATTTTAATTTTCATGGCTTGTCTGTATAGTTCAATAACCCAGCACCTTTGTTGATTGCATTGCGTGGCTTATGTTTCTTTCCCAATTTCGAAGTCTAGCATTGGCAGGACACTTCAAACGCAACTACTTTATATCAATGGCAAAGGTATTTTATGTCAATCTGTGTAATATATTTATGCGAGAGTTTAGCCGTGCACCAATTTAGCCTCTGTTAGAGTGGTGGCAAGCTTATTCGTCTTGATTTTTATGCAAATGTTTAGGTCACCAGGGCCTTTGTGTGGAAAAATTCATTTAATATTTCATTCTTTTTTCCACATGTTACTACACATGTTCATAATGTTAGAAAAAAAAAGACTCATCTTAAAACATAATCTCCAGTCTTTAAACATGAGTGCAAGAAATTAGCTGCTCGTGTCATATGAAAATTTCATTTACATCAGAGTGGAATGTTCTCTCAGTTTGTTAGCTTCCTCACCTTATTTTTCTTCTTCTGTGTTGCTGTCTTTATTTTTTTAAAGGTATACTCTCACGCTCAATGATCATTCTATATCAGATCGAACAGCTGAAAAAAAAAGTTCAGACTCTTGCACTCGTTTTCTAATAAACATGTCAACTAATAATTGTGGCCATTGTTAAGTTCTGTGAAAAGTAAGAAGTATAAGATTTTTTTTATTAACTTGTCTTCATTTGGTGCCATTTGAGTTACATGTACAGTTTTTTTTTCCACTTCAAATATTTTGGGGCAGTCTTACTAATATTGCAGTTTCGTTTTGAGAGATGGAAGATAGTCAAGTACACTGGTCAGTACTCGGTTGTAAAATTATGCAGCTCTGATATTCATTTTATAAGTGCTTCAAGGCTTACATTTGATGCAACAAGGATGTCTAGGTTCCACTGTTTGATTGCATCATTTCATGGAGAACAGGGCCATTAACTACGATGTTGTTTCCCAGTAGCACAAAATCTGGTGTGCAAGGTGCCAAGACAATGCCTCTGCTTACGAAAACAGTGAAAACAACTTGCTCTGTTTAGAAATGCAGTGAAAGTAGCTCTCATGCTTCACATAAATATGCGTCCTGTACACATGCTTCACAATGCAACATGAAAGATTTCAGTAATAATGCATGAATGCATGGTACAAGTGTCCATTGCCAACCGGGTCAGAATACGTGATTATCAAAGTGGCTCTGTAGTTAAAAACTGGTACCCAACAACAAAAGGCACATACGGTACTGTGCCTATTTCCTTAAGGCCACGTAGTGGGTGCATAGCAAATTCGAAAAGGTTTCATGCACTAAGTGTTTGAAGTACGCACTAGGAACAGGATGTCGGTATGGGGTAAAATTATAAAAGGCAATGCTTTAGGGTTCCCTAATTACTTCTTCCTTCTCTACTTCTACCATTAGTTACTGCCTCCCTATATATATATATATAAATATATATATATATAGGCGCTCACACTTTCGTGTGATTTTTTTATGCATACACACAGCACTTGTTCACTGGCATACAAAAGGGAGTCAGTCTTTAGCAGCATGCACAGAGACAACACATGTATGCACGTAATGCATGTAACACGCAATGCTTTTTATGCATTACCTCGCAAATTTTTGCATAAATACAAATATATTGATGGCGGCCTCCGCAACAGTACATATTTGTATCACTTAATGATTTTTTAATGATGACTAATAGTAGCTTACAAAGATGTCTTTCTAAATGCAAAACAGTCCTTATATAACCAAAAAACACTTTGAGCATTTCTATCTCCTCCTCTACCGACCAGCAACGTCTTGGTGCTATTGTAGCTGACTCATCACTTGATTATTGACCAAAATCAATAAAAAGGGGCGCGAGGGTATGAGAATATGCATATAATCCCGATATAACATGAAAATTACTTGTGCACCATGAAACTCTTTTTTTGTAGCCATGTGTGTCACATACCCGTATACCACATGCTGCGGTTTGTGGGTACGCGCTTAAAAGTTTGTATCTATACATATAGAAATGGCGACGACATCGGTAATTGAAACGCGAGAACCTTTAAAAAATGCGGCATTGGCAGTGTTGAGCCGACGACTGGAAAGAATAAAAATCAGGATCCCAGCAACAATCGAAACCAAGTATTTCGGGCAGCAGTCAAGTAGAAACATGGAAGATATTGAATCTGCTTTGGAAAATGTACTGTGGAGACATCGAGTCGGTGAAAAGTGATTATGGTGACAATGCTAGCTATGTGACTTCATAAAAAGGAAATAAACATTGCATATGTACTCCTTCTATACAGTTGCACGTCATGTCCGGTTAATATCAATTGTAGATTCAGCGTCAGCTTCACTTTTAACAACCTCATAAACATGATATACATATACACACTCATTTGACTCGGCAAGCTATAACAAAGCGTTGCTTGGGAATGCAGGAATGCACTAACAAATGATACCTCATTGCACAATACCACATACTTTGTATTTATCAAATTCACGTCTGTGCTGAAACGTGAATGTTGAGGTTCCATCACGTCACCACTGCTATATCTACTTGACCGCACCGTAACGCATGCCTGAACTAAAATAAAAAATGTGGCATAGACTCGTTGACAGCTTCGTATGAAACCGATTCCCACAGTTTATGGGATCTGTCGAATTTAATGCAGAACACATAGTATGCCGGGGTCCACTAAGACTTCAGCGATGCATTTCCATCACGGAAACGACGTTGAAAAAATGGACGCAATCACATGTCAAGGAAAAAAATTCCTTCAATGGGCATCTAACTGATCACCTCTCGATCCGCCACCACAAGTTCCATGTGCGCTATCCACTGCACAACGGCCACAGATTGTAACTGCTATACAAACACGTAATATATCTCGCACTTTCCTCTTAAAGTGCTCTTTTTTAGCGGGGTAGTGTCACCCTCTTGCAGCAGTAAAGTAAATCATCATTACTGTGGCCTTCGCGATAAGCACCTGCAAAACGTAATGCTGCCTATCTGTCCCATTCGTCCGCCCCAATCCACATTAAATGGTGCTGTAGCTGTCAACCACTAAAGTATACATTTGGCGAATTCTCCTTTATCAAGGTACATTAAACATTCAATTACTTCTGTAAAGGCGCGTTTCATTTTCATGCTAAACCAATTCCTATGACGTAGGGATCAACCATGTTTTCTTAAATTCAGTAAATGATTGCTGTTATACTTCATTTTCGTAATAAGTATTGCACTTTCTCACATATATTTAGGATTGTGTGTAATATAATTTACCTCTTTTGCTAATGGTCCAAAGAGTGTTACTGCTGGTGCATGCAATTATTAACGTTATTACTATTATTATATTGCTCTTATTACCCACATCTCAATCAGACAGCCGTACTTACTATGTGTTACGAGCTCTGAGGAAACCGGCATGGACTTTCTGCAATACCGTCTGATGGCTCCCGCAGCATATCCACTGCCGTGGAAGTGGCAGATTATTGACTGCGAAGTATCTATCGAGTAAGTTACTAAACACACACCTACTACACACATCTGCACGCACTTCCTGGAATTTCAACATAAATGCATTTTCCCAGAATTCTTTACAGATGCGTCTTATACTGGTGTGTCCCATGCAGCTATTGGCCCATCTTTTTTCAAATTCTGGTATTCTGCACCCCTAAACAAGCCTTTACACCGCAGAAGCCCATGTAATATCTGTGGCCGTCAAGCATATGAAGGAATTACAACGACAATGCATGGTTATATACAAAGATTCCTTTAGCATCGTAACGTTAAAAACTCTAAAAAACATAAAAATCCTGTCCTAGTGTAGCTTTAATTTCTTTTATGCATGATCTACGCCCTCAAACAAAATATTTTTGTGTGCTGGGTGCCAGTGCACAGCGAGATCGCTGGAAACGTGGTGGCAAGCCAGCTATAGCTGCATCTGTGCACGACCACGCACTCGCCAATACATCCATGGCCGTCCCTGCACTTGATAAGAAACCTTTTCTACGGCGGGAGTGCAGGGCATGCTGGCAGTACTTATGATATAGGCTAACAGAAAACAAACTACATGTTATCAAACCGATACTTCAAAAGTGGCCACCAGTATCCAGATCATGCTATGCACAAGTAACGCTAACCAGGCTACAAATAGGATACACTCACGCAACAGATTAATACCTTTTGTCCGGTGGCGATCTGCCATTCTTTCTTATGTGATTCTTAAGGAGAAAAGTGAGCCCCATAACTGTCTGCATCAAAGTCCAACACCTCAACAGTAGCTCACAAGGGATGGGGTTAAGGAGGGATTAAAAGGATAAGATTAAAGGTGTTGAGATAGAGAGGGGGGAGGAGAGAGCGTGGCGCAGGGACAGCGACACCCAGAAGCAAGGAGAAGATAGGAAAGATGGACACGGTAGTAGGAGTCCGAGGACGGGGCACCACTCAGCAAGAGCTCCTGTCGGCAGGAGGAGATGGCGTAGAGCGAGCCAGTCAGCCAGAGCTGCGCTGTCATCGGAGATAGCGGTGGCACAACGGGTCAGCATGAAGTCCAGAGAGCGAGATTTGGAGAACCACTTACGGTTCTCCACATCCTCATTCAGTGCAATGAGTTAGACACTCTCAGAACGAATTATGTTTCTTTTATTGCCTTAACGACAAGATACCCTTTCTCCCATTAGTGTTCATCGGTAAGGAACCACTTTTGATGATGAAGTGTGAGGTTTAAGATCCCACAATTACCGCATGATTATGAGGGATGCCTTAGAGCAGGACTCTGGAAATTTCGACCTCTGGGGTTCTTCAACGTGCACCTTAATCTAAGCACACGGGCCTACAGCATTTTTGCCTCCATCGAAAATACAGCCGCCAGAGCCGGGATTCAATCTCGTGACCTTCGAATCAGCAGCCGAGTACCTTAGCCACTAGACCA